GCAAAGCTTTGGCTTATGTACTCTGGACATGTTGTCAGGAGAGACCTGGCCCTGAAGGGCATCATGGCTGGTAAACTGAAGGGACAGAGAAAAAGAAGAACGCCTTCACGGAGTCCTTGTGCTGTCGTGGTTACAAGTTGGCTGCAAGCTCAGTTGGAAATTTAGCAGCTGCTCTGTGGAAGGAAGACCAGGATTTCTCCTGCCACGAAGCCTCACACGGTCTTAGAAACCCCCAGTGGGAGTTCTGACCTATCCTCTAGGCTCACGATGCGTCAGAATTGCCTAGATGGCAGTGCGTTTGGCTTTAATGTTCCCAAGGAGATGGATTGGCATAATGGCTGCGAAAATGGGCTCAAGCATAACCAGAAACGTGAGAATGGCAGAGAAGCTGGCGGTGTTTCATGCTGATGCACACAGACCACTGTGAGTCAGAACGAACTCGGGGCACCTAACAGTGACAACACCTTGTGGTCAGCAGCCCAACACATAACCCACTCCACCCGCAGGGTTCCTTGATGCGGTCAGTGAAAGAGGAAAGATAAGAATCAGCCATCCACAAATGCAGAGAAGAAAGCTGATGGTGCCAGCTGTCAAAAGATATAGAATCTGGGGTCCTAGAGGCTGGAAGATAAACAAGGGGCCATCTAACTAAGAAATAACAAAGCCCACATGGAAGAAGCACACCAGCCTGTGAGATCACAAGGCGAAGAAGGGATCAGGGATCAGGTATCAAAGACCAACAAAAACAAAAAAATCATAGCATTGTGAATGAGGAGGAGTGTGGAGTGGGGACCCAGGGTCCATCTGTGGGAAATTGGACATTCCCTTGCAGAAGGGCGGCGGGGAGGAGATGAGCCAGTCAGGGTGCAGTGTAGCAATGATGAAATATACAATTTTCCTCTAGTTCTTGAATGCTTCCTCCCACTATCATGATCCCAATTCTACCTTACAAATTCGGCTAGATCAGAGGATGTACACCGGCACAGATAGGAACTGGAAACACTGGGAATCCAGGACAGATGAACCCCTTAGGACCAGTGGTGGGAGTGGCGATACCAGGAGGGTGGAGGGAAGGTGAGGGAGAAGGGGCGTAACAGATTACCAGGATCTACATATAACCTCCTCCCCGGGGGATGAACAGCAGAGAAGTGGGTGAAGGGAGACGTCGGATGGTGTAAACTATGACAAAATAATAATAATCTATCCATTATCAAAGGTTCTTGGGGGAGCGGGGAGGGAGAGGAAAAATGAGGAGCTGATAGCAGGGGCTCAAGTGGAGAGCAAATGTTTGGAGAATGATGATGGCAACATATGTACAAATGTGCTTGACACAATGGATGGATGTATGGATTTTGATAAGAGTTGTACGAGCCCCCAATAAAATGATTTAAAAAAAGAATCAGCCATCCATATTTACGTTTTACCACAAATAAACTTTGTCCAGCCTCTTGAAGTATGAGAATACATCATTTCTTAAATAAGTCAGTCATAAGGAGTCCTGGTGGTGTAGTGGTTACGAGTTGGGCTGCTAACCTAAAGGTTAGCAGTTCAAAACCACCAGTGTCTCCATGGGAGAAAGATGAGGCTTTCTACTCCTTTAAAGAGTTACAGCCTCAGAAACCCGCAGGGGCAGTTCTACCCAATCTTGGAGGGTCAGATTTGACTCAATGGCAGGGAGGTAACTGGGAACAGGATAATGAATAAGACAGACCATATTCCTGCCCCGAAGAAGTTTACAGCATGCAAGGAAGAGATGGAGAAAAGCATTAGTTCAAGGCTTACTTCTTTAATCATTTTTTTTCAAGTTGGGGGACATGATAAGAAAGGAGGCTGTGTTTTAAAGAAGGATATCATTAAGTCTAAATTGGTCCAAGATAACTTGTTTGAGGGTGTGGTAGTTAATTTGAAGAGGTAGGTAGGGAAAGGAGTGGACAAAGGGCCAACTTCCAGGCAAAGGGAGAAGAATTCATAAAGGGAAGCTAGGGAAGTGGTCAGCAGCCCTTATTTATGATCAAATTAAATCCCATCATGTGATAATGGCCTTGCAGGTTATGGGTTTTAAAAGAGCTCCCTTAGAGATACATGCTAAAATATTTATGGATGAAATTATGTGATGTCTGGAATTTGCTTTAAAATAATCCCGTGGTGAGGGTGGCAGGGGGGCAGGCAGGAGTGAGGAGGGCTAGAAATGAAACAAGATTCGACACATCCGATGATGATCACTTTTGTACATGTTTGACATTCCCCATAATAAGACTACTTTAAATTCCTATCCTGACAATAAATCCTGAGGGCCGTGGGTGTACTTCTTTGAGAGGTCACTTCACATTTCCCTCCTTCTACCCCATTCCAGAGAGTGGAGGTTACAGTATCTTTGGGAAAGGAAATGGACTGAGTTTTATGATTTAGAAAATGCAAAGGTTTCTCAGTTCCAAATCATGTGGCTAACATAAGGTAGGAAGGTAGGGTGTCTGGGCAATTTATCTTGCCTCCTGGCTAAAGTGCTATCTTGCATTATTGCTCATGCTCATTTTTCACTAGCTGCGATGGTTCTGTTTCATCTACGTACAGATAATGGAATCTTACAACATGGGTCACCCAGAGTAAAAGGATTCTGTTACAAGGTTGCCTGTACCAAAGTGCGTTTATGAGTCCGGGACAGATGGGAATCCCCCCTTTGAGAAAGTCTTGATTGGCTTACTGCATCAATAATAGATTTCTTGGATTAAGTTTTCCCTGTACTAGCGTTATGCTGAGGTGGATCCGACTAAAAATAACAGCAGGGAGAATAGATTTTATAAGTCAAGGACATACTGCAGGATTTTTTTTTTTTGGCGGGGGTTGGGGGGCGCGGCAGGCGGGGATATAGGGGCTGGGGCTGAAGAGCTGATGTATCTTTTTCATAACTGTTCATGTTCAGTTATTTGGCAGAACCATGTTTTGTGATTCGGAGTCAAAACCTTTCTTTCTTGAAAACACTTTTGTCATCAAATTGAATCTCTCCGCAACCCCTAATGGATGAAGATTTCACGAGAGTTAGATATATGCAAATTACATTTCCCTTTTCAAACCAAGGTTAAATAAAAGGGAAATTATGAAAGATCGCTTATGGCAGCAAAGATTTTCAGGGCTTGAAGATGAATTTGGTTATTTCAAAAGCACGACGATTCGCCTGTCAGTGCAAAGGCAAGAAGGGAAGCAAGTCCCAGAGAAAGCAGGCCGGGCATAAACATACTCTCACACAGCCTTGATACTGAAAGGGCTTTGTTGTTGTTCCGTGAACCTTGGTAATTACAGGCATTTTCCTCTGCTCTGAGAAACATTTGGCAAATAAGGAGAGGGGTTCCCCGCCCCTTTCCTGTGTTCAATATGGGGCCTGGCCTTGTGGCAGGGAAACACTAATTCCCCACAGAGCTCCCTGGGAGCAAATGGTTTGTTTTCTTTTCCCTGAATCCAGCCTGGGGTCGGTTCTCAGCAGCTGAGCCTGGCATGGAAAATCTATTTGGAGCAACTTGTCCCCAGGAGGGAAGAAGGCAAGCCGACTGTGTGTGGAAGCGGCAGCCACCAGCCATGCCAGTCTCACCCGCTGGCCAAGGCAGACTTTAACACACAAAGACACACACCCCCACCCCCACCCCGGTCCAATGCAAACACAAGTTCGTACACGAACATGCGCAACACACGCCCAACTGTATGGATACACCCTAGACATACGTACTCCCCACACAGCCACACACAGCCCTGTGCGCACACTCCACATACAATCCTACCCACCCAGAGGGTACACATGCAGTCATACCCACCTGTGCACATACCACACACACCACGTGTCACACACACCGCAGTCACACACGCACCCATGCCGCATACATTCACACCTATATCCCTCTTACCCACACACCACCTCCCCCAACATGGGCCGGGCACACATCTAAAACCGTATCAAAGTGCACACACACACCCCTATCAAACACTTCATGTAGTAATCACACACATGTGCACATCACACACGCATCACGTGCACAGACACCAAACTTCACACGCACCCCCCCCCTCAAACTACACAACCCCCTCCTACAGCACCCTGCTTGG